AATAGGTTTTCTTAGTGAAAATTTATAGAATATGGGTTATGTTGATTTGCCTCTGTTTTGCCTCTTAAAAAGGTGAATCAGCTCAGGGGTTTGGCTCAGCGATTGCGTTCCCTGGGCCTGACTTTAGCTTACATTCTATTTTACTTTATACATTTTTGAATTTTATCTGCAGCTGAATAATAGTAATAGAAAGAACTAAAGGTGAAGATGGTGATGGTGTCATCTAAAGAAGAGATGCATATTTTTCTGAACCCTTCCGCTCAAGCTAAAGGGGGGAAATCTAACCTAGGTTGAGTATTAGATGGAGATATAAGAAGTGACTAATAAATATTTAAATCAAGATCTATGTTACATAAATAGTGAAAATAATATAAAATTAAGTAAAATAAATTTTGTATTAAAATTTTGTTTAGACTTTTATTAGGACTGTTAATACTAAATTTCTCTTATTAAAAATAGAAAAAGAAAAAAAGAGAACCAAAAGGATAATTATAATGACAATAGTTGAAGATTACTTTTGAATTGAAGTACAAGATTCCAACCCCTAAGGTGTAAAGATAAGTGAAAAAGAATTAAAAAATAATATAAAAAATTTATACCACTTATGTTTTGACCTAAAATGTTTCTAATACAGACAATAGAAGATAGAAGCAAATTATGGTAAAAAGATGTATATAGTGATAAATGAAGATATAGTAATAAAATGTGGAGTAGGTCAAAATATATTGAGATAGTATATATTTTTTTTTGAACATTATTGAGATAATATTGTTAAGAAGCTACATCTTTTATATTTTGATTTAAAACATTTCTAATACACCCTAAACTTTTAAAAGGCTTAGATGATAAAATTATAATGATAGGAAATTAGAGGACTAAAATGCTTTTAATGTACTAAATGCAAGGACCAATTAAAAATTTAGTCATAAAATAACCAAAGAAAATGGGCGTATAGACATTTGCCACGTCTGTTGATCTCCAAGTCACTCAAGCATAAGAATTTATTAATATAGAAAAATTTTATGAAAATTTATTTTTAAAAAAATTAAATTAATTAAATTTATAATTAATAAAACTTTTTTAAAAATACAAACAAATTGCGTGAAGTGCGACTTATCTATAGTTTTCATATAAAATTAATGTATAAAAAATTAAAATATTAAACTAAAAAAAATTAAAATTAAATGAAGGGAGTGCAATTAATTCAATGAGAGAGTCCCGCCCTCACCCAGATCCAAACACTAGACCCTCAATTTTTTTTCTAGTTTGGATGGTCAATGTGTCCACAATCCAAAAAATTGCACAGTCAACCCAATGTATTTAGAAAATTAATTCTTTTGAGTGATAGTTCCAAACTTTGAATCTTAAAACCTTATATATTAAGATGACATCTACTTAGTAATAAATCTAATCCTTGTAATTATTAGATCTCTCATTAATACATCATGAG